TGTTTCAGTTATGTTCGACATGCTATTCTAAAACTCTATTGAGAAAAATGACATGAATAAATTTCAAATGAATATTCATATATAAAGAGTCTTTAATAATGCTGCTGAACATTTCTTCTCAATCTTTTCTTTTCTAAATAGAGCATGTAATAGATCTTGAAAACAGCCCAACATTTTATTCATCTTTCAAAAGAATCTCACGTATGAATTAACAAAACATACAGAGAATCTAACTTAACATAAAATTTTTAAATTGCTATTTTACATATTGAAACAATAAAAGTAAAGCATCTAAAAAAAATATAGAGCTCATACAATCAAACAACAAGCATAAAATATTTTGTTCTTCTTCTGCATTTTGTTCTATTTTCTCATGGTTATTCTAGTTCTTTGAAAAATGCATGAAGTCAATTAAGAAACAATACAAATATTTAAGATGAAATGATTCACTTTAACGACATATTTTAAAAGTGATGGTATTTTATGAACTCTTTTCGTGTTTATATAGCTTTTTGTTATGAAAAACAAGTTACTTTTCTATGTGTTAAGTAATCACGATGTAAATTAAGAAGATAAAAATTGGTTCTTACAATTATTATTTTATCTTTATATATAACGCTAATTGTCACGAAGTGTTACTGGAAAAAGCAAGTCATGTATAAAAATACCTCGAATGATCATTCTCAATTGATTGAAAAATATGAGATTTAAAAATTATGAACAATTATCTAAGATAAGAATACTTCTTCATAATGCAACCTTTTTTTGGACAGGTTGAGAAAATGTTGTCATATTTTTATCGAAATATATTGAGATATCTGTCATTTCTACTACCATAGTTCTTTTAAATAAAGATTGAATAAGTATACATAATGACAATTGATATTACTTCTTTTTGTAAACAAAAATCATAGATATTTGAATGAGGTTTTTAATACAAATTTCTAATAAACTTTGCTTCGAAGAGATGTGCCACAAGTTTTTCGGCAAAACATTTAACTGCTTCTCACGGATCTAAATTCATTGAAAACTGAGTTTTACACTCTCTCAAAATATATGCTTAGAATTTTTCTATAACTTTTGACTATTGAGCAATAAGTAAATTTTGACAGGAGTCAAAAGAATTTTCTGAAAAGTTGAAACTCTTGTCTCTTCCTGTAGAAATCAAATAAGTTCTAAAAATATATAGTATTTCAGCGTTGCCTCTACTCTATTAAATGACTCCAGAATGCAGAGTTATGATTAATCCATTAAAAAATGGCAGAACTATGACGCGAAGGATCATTTTGTGTTGAAAAAGTGGAAATCGGAAAAACAACCATTTTTCTTACGATGAACTTTTTAAAAGTCGTTACTGTACTTCAACAGATTGTAAAAAATGTTATTCAAAAATACTGACTTGTAGAGATTTATTTTCTGTATGTACTAATATGTTCGATAAAGTTTTGTAACATGGCTGGAATATTGTCTCATTTGAGATTTTTTCTTCAAAAAGATTTTTCAGCCTTTTCGAAGTTCACTCAGAGCTCAATAGTCAAAAGTCGTGGAAAAGTTTATAGCATATATTGTGAAACAGCATAAAAGTCTAGTATTAATAGAGTTCTCACTCTTGACTAATGCATTTAAAGATGCGAGAAATAGTCAAATATTTTGTCGAGAAACTTTTGATTCACATTTAACTTTCTCCATTTTTATTCTTTCTTATTGTGAGATTACTTTTTTTTCTTGCTATAGGTATTTTCTTTGTCACAATGTAGTACGTATTTTTAAATTTTCAAACTTTTGTTTAAATCATTTCACGTAAAATTATTATTTAGAAATTTATATTTTAGATTCGAAAGAATTATCTGAAATTTTTCAATTTACTTTTGCTTTAAGTTAGTAATAAGTCTAATCTATTTAATTCTAAGATTAAATAATTTTTAATTTTCTTCTCAGAGTAGAAAATAGATCATGTGTTCCGCATCTCGATTTATTGACTCATCGAGAATAGATATTTGTTTTCTTGATTATTTTATTTTTATGTTTTATATTCAAATCAGATACAATCAAAACAACAATACCTTAGGATTTTTACAATAAAACATTTGATATTGTTCATTGATTGACTTAGATTTTAACAGTTTGTATTATATCATTAGCTGCTCTGAAATTTACTGGATCTTGTTGAATGTGAAAGCAAGTTTTCTATAAATAACTTTTTAATATAATTCAATGTATACGGCGCTGTTGAGAGGAATCTATCAGGACTTTATGAAATATTTGACTTTATCTATTGTATTGTATAACAGTTGAATAAAGTAACTACAATGGAAACAGTAGACACGTAATCAGATAAACACCTACGTGGATAAGTCTCATGATTAGTATTTTATATCATGTAGATTTCTCATTAATTCTGCTTTGTTGTCGATTGACAAGTATTCAATTCATATAGACTCGAACATTACTATGTCATATGACATATAAAAAATTTTGAATAGTAAAAGAACGAAAGTTAATCATTATAATTTGCATAGAAAATCGGGCAAAATGATATTTTTATTATTATTTGTCGTAAAATATCATAGAAATAAATGTTATTTATGTATATCGATCTACGTAATTATGATAAATTTTTTTTAAATGAAAAGAAAAAGAGGATGCTTTATTCCAGTATCATGATAATGATAAGGTTATTTGGAAATACTGCATATAAGATCTGCATCATACAGTACCTTTTGAGCTTATTTATATTTAAAATATTGAAATGTTGTCCTGGATTCCTAGTTAATGACAGATCAAGAAAAATATGGTTTTTCTTTACAAAGATAAGCTTATTATCTAGAAAATGTATCTTAAAGGCAGTCTTTGAAGATTAAATTCGAGTATTCTTTATGTGCCACTTTCTTTTTTCACTAGAAGACATAAACTACAAAAATTAATTGTAACTGAGCCTGTTCACGCAAAAACATTATTCCGTCACGCTTTGTTTGTTTCATTACGTACAAACGACTTAATGTTTAAGATCAAATGTTTTTGCAGTTTTGGACAAAAACTTGTGCTTTTCAAAATGAGAAATTGAAAAGCTGTCCACGAATTCTGATTCACCATGAACAAAGCGTGACGAAATAACACCTTCCGTGGACAGGCTCAACTCGTATCATTTTTTGCATGATTTAGCCATCTAGAAGAATGATGAAACATATGCACTAAAAAGAAACATTCAAAAGTAATTATATGATCAAATAAATCTTAACTACAATCAAAACAATACTGATATCGACTATTCGAACGAATATTCGAATATATACACCTCTGGGCAAAAGTCTTTCCCACCCCCTCCTTTTTCAACAAAGTTTTTTCTACTATTATAAAGACAAAACATGGTGTTGTTCGGATCGATTATAGTTTATCAAGGCTTCTCTTTGAAATGGCCCGAACAACACCTTGAGCTCTCCTTATAAAAGTAGAGAAAACTTTGTTGAGAAAGGAGAGGGTGGGAAAGACTCTCGCTCAGGGATTTATTTCAGATCTGATTTGGCTCAATATAATCAAGTGACTGTTTTTAAACAATTTTATAAATAGTAATACGAAAAGAATCGAGATATTGATCGCAGATGGTATATGCATCATATTATATGGGAAAATATAATGGTTTCAGCCTTATTTCAGTTTTAATAAAGATTTTGAAAAGTAATTAAAAATTAAAGCAGTATTAATCGTTTACAAAGCCCATATTAAAATACTTCTCATTTGTTGTATATCATTGTCTAGTTGTGTTTCGTTTAACAAATTTGTTTTTAGGATTTCAACTTTGTCAAAAAAATCACAATGCAAACTTTACTACTAGTAATATAATAATACAGTGAAATACGACAAGAAATATTATATCAATTGATAGTCAATCAACAAATGAATACATGAACAACTTTTATTTGACTAAAAGTACAATGGCAAGGACTTGTTGAACCCTATATTCATCAATCGACACACGCTAGTACGCTATTCAACTATGATAGTAATGTTGTTACATGAGCTATATGATAGGGATGTATTCAGTTATCAGCATGATTGCTTTTTTTTTAATTATGTAATTCAATATAAAGTCTCTTCTCACTTGAATAATCAATTGATTTAATTTATTTGAAACGTTAATTAATAAAATTTGGAAACACTTTTGAAATATGATTCTCTTTGATCGGTATATTTGCTATTATAATAGATTCATATTGTTATTATGTAGAACACGTATCTGCTTATGCTCGTTTCTTGTTTCTTTTTTTGCTAATAATGAAACAGAAAAACAACACTGTAATAGTGTTCGATAAAATACTGCGTTTTCATCTTGCATTCTACTATTACAACAGAAAAAGAAAAATAGCAAAGAATACACAGATACGTGTCATACATAGTAAAACATATGATTTTATTATGAAGAGTAAATGAACTGACGAAGGAAAAAAATATTTTCAAGAAGTTTTCAAATTTTATTAATTAATTCAGCATTGAAGTAAGACAAGACTATATTTAATTAAATAATACAAGACATTTAATAACATGAATGTTTGCAGGATTAGAGTTTCAAACGCTATTTTTAGTATAAGAATCAACGCATGAATTGTCATAATAGTCATGCATTACTAAAATATTACAAAAGTGTTTTCTTTGAAAAAGATATAAGCCAAATGATAAGAACGTATTAGAAAAGGTCAATAAGAAACCATTTTCTTGTCATTTGACAATGTAACTTGAGGAGAAACTTCGTCTTTCTTGTCTTATTGCATTAATATAATTAACATTCGAAAAGAAAAGTATCTTCGGGAAATATTATAAAAAATTTAAATGAACAATTCGCCTGTCATAAAATTATTATTTCTATTGTAAAAGATGTAATTTTCTTGATCAACATTTTCATATTTTTCTTCTTTTCTCATGAGAAACAAAATATCTATAATTATGAATGCATAATTCATAAGCCTATGATTAACTTTATTAATCAAGAAGAAAGATGAAAAATTTCATTTGGTTTCTAACAATTTAGATATTGGTAAACCATTTTGAAATTCATTGAAAAGTTTTTCATAAGCTTGTTGTAACATCATAGTATTGATTTCAAATTCATTTTGACGTTCAATAAATAATGCTTCAACTTCATGCACAATGTTTGACATTTGTTGTGATAATTCAGAAAAAAATTTGAAACGTTCATCATCAGTTGATAATATTGCATATCGTCCAATGTTAGCAAGCCGATCGAGTATATATCGATCTAATACATCTGAATAGATACTTGATAATTGATAAAGATAATAAGCATTATTTTCAATGCTATATAAGAGTGAAATAAAACGAAGAATTTCATCATCATCATTATTAGATAAATTAAATTTTTCTTGAATATCAACATTAATAATTAATTGAACAATTTGTTCATATTGTTTTTTCATTTGTTGAATTATTATACAAAGCTCTTCAAAAATATTTTTCGAATTAAAACCTTTGTAGAGTATTAAATCAGTTTTATTTGAAAAGTAATTATTAAATTTTAATGATAAATTGGTTGTATATTGTTTGATTTCGTTTAAAAAATTCAAAAGATTACTGAATTGATCTATAGTTTTATTGAGTAAAATTTTATTTTCATTTGAGATACGAGCAATATTATTGAGCGTAGTAGGTAGCATTATTTGAGTCATTCTAGATGACCTTGCCGTAATAAGTTTTAATATTGTTTTGATATGATTTGGAATTCGTTTAACAGCGAGTTGAATATGATACATTGTCGAATAAACATTCGAGAATATTTTATGCATGTCTGAACTAATCTGCAGTAATGTCGTACGATATGATTGAGGATAACGAATATAATTAAATTTAGAATCTGATAAAACATTAAATGGAAAGTCTCTTTCACTAGCCATAATTACCAGAACTGATTGAAGATGAACAACAATAATAGTGTTGGTTATCAGTTCTTTTGGTAACCATAAACTATCCAATTCTATTGAGAATAAAAATAAATAAAAACAAAAAAAAACAAACATCAATGATTACCACTTACGGGATTTTAATTGAACATCTTTTATATCGTTTGCTAGAACTATTTTATTTAGAGTAGTGATAATTAGCAGAATATATGAAATATAACAAAAGCCTAAACAACATTCATAAAAAGAAATATTTAATAATTGATAGATCCTAACCTGGATACATCATGCTATATATTACGAAAAATACAAAGAAATCCGAAGAACTTCTATATTCTTATACGTAAAAATAAACTCTGTCCGCTTCCTTTCTTGATGGCACGTTTTTAAATAGTTTTTTAAGTCGTTTTCGTCGATAAATAATTGTGAAAAATAACAGCTGGTATATCTTTTGTTTTTTGAAGGATCAGAAAAATATTTTTGTTTTATCGTCGAGAATATTCGTAGAAAATGAAAATAATATTTATTATATTTCGAACGCTACAAAACATCAAATTCATCAATTTTATAGTTGATGAGTATTTTGGAAGAAAAACATATGATAACTGTTTGTGTTGGGTGAGTCACAAGGATTGCAACATTGTATGTTTTGCAAATATTTCAGCACAAACCTCATAGCATTGAATTGTCTTTTTTCGGGATGCATTATCAATGTTTCTACAAGAATGACAATAAAAAAATTCAACTGAACTATTTTAATAACTTTTTTTATAAGGTTAAAATGTACACACTAATCGTTAAATGTTCTATTGTTTTGAGAGCAAAAAATAAGAATACAATTTTAAAAAAAATCAAATAAAATAATATAAAAATCATGAATGTTCATTGGAAATATAATTCCCATTATGTTGTTCAATGGTACGAAATCTTTGAAGAAAACAATCGATTACCTCGCGAATATAACTCGAATAAATTTTTTAACACATGTTATTTATTTATTTCTTCAAATTTTCTCATATTTTGACCTATTGATAATCAATGGCCTGATTGACATGATCTCATGTAGAATAATTTAATGAATTTTCTCCCCATGCCTTAGAAGGTCAGCAACCTTTAGGAGTGGTACTTGAGATTTTTGTAGTTTTCTTGTCATTATTATAATGAAAAAAATAACTCCATTACACAGATGTTCATCTTTTATCATTTAAAAAATTCATCAATGTAATACAAAGGAATCTTTTATGCAAGCGTTTTTAAGAATTCCATAACGTGCATTAAAATGCAAATGATTTAATACTTTATGATTTATTGATGGTGACATCGTATGCAATGCAACATTTGTCAGAAAAATATCCAACTCTGTTATACTATATTACCGACTTCTAAGCTAATCAATTTTTTTTGACAGACAAAGCAATGTCTAAACCACAAATTTTGTATCATATACTTTTTGCCAAAACAAGCCGAAGAATGAGGAAAAGCCTAAAATCAAACACCTTCAAAAAATCCTTTCAACTTTACTCTCAAACAAAAACATTTTTTATGTTCCATTAATTTTCTTTATATCAGCAAGGAAATGAAAGAACGCGGTTAATGACGATTTTTGTAGCGTATAGTGTGCTCTATTCAATAGTGCATTGAATAGTAAATTTGCTCTTGATTTTTATACTGTAACAACTTTTTCCTAAAACCGTTCAATAAGTTGATTGTTCTTAGTATCTGGCTGTTTTTCAATGAGAAAAGAATGATTCTTTTGGCTCACTTTCTCTGCTAAATGTCTATAATCTGAAATATTTAATTTCTGGAAATCATGGCTGATGTTCGTGCAAACTAATAATTGTTGGAAAAGACGGTGTTCTACCAAAACTTCCATTGTTCAAACTTTTTTCATTCAAGAGTCAAGAACAGATACAAAAAGTTTTCATCAGAGCTGATACAAATAATTGTTGATGTCCTGCATTTTGATATATTTTTTGTTTAAACTTGATTCATTCATATAACTTAAAATAATTAAGACATTGCTCTTTCTTCTTTTAATATAAACACACGTTTGACTTTCACATCTTCCTTCAATTTTATTCTTGTAACAAAATTATAAAAAAACCATTCAATAGGGATTTTTCATTGCCATTCCTGTAGAGAATTTGATGCTGTATCTTTAGAAAAAAAGCTTTAGCGTTATAGAATTTGTTTGCGTTCAGATCTTTGAAAAGTATCTAATGTTGCAATTATTTTGACTCACCTGATATATATTTTATACATAGGGAATTGTGAATCGATATTTTCATAGAATCGAACGTATATCGAACTAGGCACATGTCAAAAATTTCGGATACGAGGCCGAGCATGAGAAGAACCTACAATACCTCTTTATATAAAATTCTAACTCGATCAATGAAGTCAAAAAAAAAAAGTTCATCAATAATGGAATTCATAGAAAGATAAATATTGAATTATTATTCAAATTTTGAATAAATAAATAAAAAATATTTTTCCTTTTTTTCTTTTTCTACATAAAATCAAGATTTGATTTAAAAAGATTTCGTTTTTTATCTTGCCGATGTTCATTTAAATTTAACAATTGTTTAACTTCATCGGTTACTAACATTTTATAATCCCATATTTCATGTGGTCCTGTTTGCGCCGGGATTGGTTTACGTCTTAATCGTTCTGTTGTTTGATTTGCATTGAAAGAACTTGTTGAATTCATTTCATTTGTAGGTGACTGTATTAATTTTGGAAGATGCATTGTTGTTGGTAACGGTTCAATTGTATTTTGAACTGTTAAAAATAATAATCTATCATACATTTCTAATAAACCTTGATGATATTTAAAATATGTTTCATTTAATTGTCTTAAACCATCAGCAATCTAATAAAATAAATAAAAAACTGAGCAAGAATAACTTCTTTTTAAGTTTTCTACCTGTTTTTGACTATTTAATGTTAATGGATAAAAAGTTCGATGAATAAGTAAATTAAACCAGTTTAATTTTTGTATACTGAATTTAATTGTTTCAACTTCCCATAAAAGTTCAATATTTTTTTTTCTTTCACGATGTAATTGTTCAATAAGACGTGCACTATGAGTATCAGCATTATACCAACTTGTTATAACTTCAATTGGTAATGGTAATGTATTTATGTTTGGTTCACGATGAATAATAATTAATTTACCATTTGTAGCTAATGATTTACGTAGTGTATTTATATATGACATTAATGGACTACTAAAAGTAAAATTTGTATTTTGACTTTCACTTGAAATATCTTGATTTGTTGACGAATTGTTTATTTGATGTAGACAATTCAGAAGAATTATTCGATCAAATGCATCTGTTGTTAATTGTTCTTTGATTGCATCTGAACGAAAATTATTTTATTTACTGGAAAAGAATTCAATATAATTTTATAAATATGATTTTCAAATCAGAAGTTTTTTTAAGTTTTGTTTTTGCATTAGTTTTAATAGGATCTATAATAGTTTGTAGACTTCGAGAGTTTTTTTAAAGAGTATATCTTTATAAGCTGTTGAATGATGATGGGAGATTTCGTAGTTTTTTTGAACAGTGAAAAATTATTGCTTAAGTATTAGATTCCGAAAAACAGGAAACATTTCATTCGGATAGAATGTTCAGATCGAAATTCAATTTTTTACTTGTGCTTTATCAGAAATCTCGAATGATCACGAACACTTAAAGAATTTCTTTTAGTCTCATTGCATCGAACACAATACTTAACTATTATGACAATTTTCTCCCGATAATATAAATGATTACCTAAGATGGCAGAAATAAATATTAGTTAAAATGTCATCATCTGTTCTCTTTTTATTTTGTTTTCTTTTAATATGTTCTGTCTGAGTATTTTTCTTTTTATGTTAATATTTATATGACAATCGTCATAAAAAGACGAACGACTCAATGTAAGTTGATCCCATAAAATTCTTCTTGATTAGACAAGTGTTAGAGCAGAAAGATAAATACGACAAAAAAGAAACAGAATAATATTTTAAAGATTAAGTTTTTCATAATAAACATTTTAAAACATATTTTGAAATCGTAGAATTTTAAGATCAAAGAAATGAATAGTGCTGCTAGTAAATGACTTCGGTTGTAGTAGATATGTTTTTGAATCAATCAAAATTACATGTAGGAGTAAGTCATAAAATTTCAAAAGAAAATAACATTAACTGGTAGAATGAGTAAGTTGAATCTTGGAATCCTGTTGAATGACATAACACGTAGCAAATAAATTACATCAATAATACATTAATTAAATAGTAATTTCGATGAAAAAATAGACATTGTATTCATTACTAATGCTTCTTAAAACTTATCGAAAAGTAATGATTTTATTTCAATCTCAACACAATTCATCTTTTTTCTTTTTGAGTTTCTATTACATGTCTATTTTCATTTATTAAACAGTAATCTTTTCTTATAATCAATTACGGATACAGAAGATAATTTTTTTTCTTTTGTTTTTTTACGAATATCTCTATGCTATCTGTTGCAAGCAAAACATTTTGATAAAAACAAAAAAAAAACGAATTTATATTTTTCATCCATTTTGATTAAATTTTTAAGTGAACTTAAATAATTTCTTTTTAACGAATAACCTTTTGATATATTCTCATATTTTATAAAGAAAACATTATGTTGACGAACGAAATGAAAAAAAATTCCGATACACTTTGAATACAATATTCTTATTAATATTTATATCTTTACTTACCTTGATGTAATTTACAATCGATAAAATGTACCGGTTTAATAAGAAAAAGTCGTTCTTGTATAATTAATGCCCATTCAGATTCTTCCCCAACTATGCATAAACGATCACTACAATTAACTTCAGCATGTTTAGCCAAATAGAAACAAAATTCTCGTTCATATTGTTCACCAAATTGACATTTGCTAACTCTAAATGTTCGTTCATTATTTACTATTGGTAAACCAACTCGAAAATTAATTTTTTGAAAATAACGTTCAGCAGCAATAGAAAAAGGTCGTGGGCTTTCAGGTGCTAGATACGATGTCATTCCTTTTTCGAATTTTTAAAACCGATAAGAATGAATGCAGTATGTTTTAAAAAAATTCAATTTTTTTTGCTGCTTTACCTCTCAAATAGAGCCCACATTGCTTTCTATTTTTTTCTTTCTTCTCTTACACTCTCTTTCTTCTTTCTTTTTCTTTCTCGACAGTGATGATGATGATGATGATGATCAACAAGTAACACACATTGTAAATTCAGGATGTTATGAAAAAGAAAGGTAGGCGGAGAAGGACGAGACAAGTTTAATAGCTTGAAGCTATATGAAATTTATTTCATTTCTTTTTAACTTTGTAAATGCAGAAAATAATACCAATACAAAATATTAAATAGAGCAAAACATAGTGGAAATGCAATTCGAGCAAAACCATCTAGTTTACTACGACTATTGATACCAAAACGTGATGCACGTTTACGTAATGCACGTTTATAACTATCATTGCCTGATAAACAAAACCAAAATTGACGTAAATAATATCGAATACTTCCTAAACATAATTTTCTTTCTGGCTGAGATTTTTTTTTATTTATATTTTGAATACGTGGATAAAATAAAGCTGAATTTGTTTTATAATCTCGGTTTGTTTGCCCATTATCTTCATTGATTACTAAACTATCAATTGAATCATGATAACGAAGAAGTGGTTCACCATAACCAAACTAAATTGAATAATAATTAATTTCTTGATAATAAAACAAAAATTTCGAACCTTAGTAAAATAATGAACAAAAGCAAATTGAAGTAATGATGCAAGTAAAAAAGCATATGCCATGATAACAAACCAATCGAGTGCTGTTAGATAAGAAACAGCAGCCGTATAATTTCGTATATCAAAACTTAATGTTGCTAAACTAAGAAAAGTCATTACACCAATATTAACTCGATCAGCTGTTGCTTCACGATGAATAAAAAATGATACCCATGATAACATAACTAACATTGAACTTGGAATATATACTTGTAAAATGTAATAACCCATATGTCGTTTAAGAACAAAATCAACACGAAGCATAGAAAAGTTACCTATAATTAGTTATTTTATTAGAAAATTCTACATTGAAAGATGATCATTCTTTTCTTAATGTATAATAATATTAGTTTCCATTTTGATGGTAATTTTAGACAAGAAACAATAACAAAAAGTAAATTATAACATGAATATTTCATATCTTGTTTTAATAATTAACAACTAGTCAAAGCATATCTAGATTATAAAAACCATATATATCTATATTGAATAGCTCAAATGTAAGAGAAAATTGGCTTTTTTCGATTTATTTTTGGTACATGGTCAGTTAAGTCTCATATTTACTAGGTAATATTAGTAAAAGATCTAGCATATGCACAGTCTTTGAATGCAGTAATTTATTTAAAAGCATACATATAAATTTTACTACTTGTTTGTGATTTTAAGCAGACAAAACTATGGAAATCGAAAAACAATCAAATTTCTTTTACATTCATTGACCAGCAGTATGATATATATGTACGTTTTGAAATAAATTATTTCACTCAACGACTGATCATATGCTGCATTATTTACTAGTATCCCATAGTAAATATGAGATCTAACCGACCATGTATAAAGAAGCTATCGAATAGTTCCGTGTGCCATCAGTTTTCTGTCATGCTGTATGAAAACTAACATATTAATTATGTAAGAGAAACCTAATCTAGCAAAACACAAAACCTGCAGTGGAACATGTTATTATTTAGATTGATTATTTTCAAGTTATCCTTCGAGCGAAAAAATAATAATAAAATATTTTTGCAATGACTCGCTGATTTCGAGCTACAGTGCACTTGATATTATGAATATTTATTGTCTTATCTTCTCCTTGTGCCGAATAAACATGTAGATCCGAAATTAAAACGAGTCGACAAATACCAAATGCATAAATTCACGTTTTGTGACGGAACTCAAAAAAAATTAATTATTTCCAGATTTACACGGTACAATGGTTTTTCACCTATAGAATCCGCAAAAAAGTTCAAAAATTCCATCTTTTTGAGATAGACCTTGATTGACTTCAATCCTTATCTAGTTACATATATATAAAGGGTCGCCAAGAAGTACGAATTCGATTTGTATAGTAAATTTTGATACACTAACACATGTGGTTGTAAATTTGTCACTATGAAGGAAAGATACAGTTAACCACGCGCTACAAAATGGCTAATTATTAACTACTGCTAGCTCATGTAGTTAGAATGTTATAAACTTAGAAATAGGCTTCACATAAAACAAAAAATAAATTGTGATCCTTTCAGGATACAAAAAGAAAATGGTCAATTAAGTTTGGTTTGAGTGCCCAGTTCACTTGCAAAATTACTTAAAAGTTATTATGTAATTCATTTTAGATGTTAAACACGTTTACTCTCGAAGAGCAAAATTTTGTATTCGTTTTCTTTTGAAGAAAATAGATATTCGACTTATTTTTTTTCTTAATGCACCATGATCTAATGGAGGATTTCCATAAGATTGTAATTGATCAATAGCGTTGGTTGCTATCCAGATGGGTTTTATTTTCTTCAAAGAAGAAATAAATTCAAGAAACTGTTCATCTAAAGTAAACGTGTTCGACATCTAAAATGAATTATATAATGTCTTAAAGTGATTTTGAAAGGTTATGAGTGTTGAATTATTAATTTGAACTCTATCAAAAACAAATTTTTATGTAATATATACATACGTCCATTGATATCAACAATTTCATCATACTGTGGATATCTAATAAGATCAAATTGTGATAATAAAACTTTCGTATCAAAACTAACACTATTATTATTTCCTAAACGCCAACCATATTGAATATCTGATGCGGAATTTGCAACTATAAATTTTTTTCAAAATCAAAATCAAATAAATAATTCAATCTGATATGAATTTCTTACAACTGCCAATAAGAAATTTACAAATTTGCATATCAACAGGAAAATTTTTTAAATTCATATTACATCTTGCTTTAACTGTTATTCTATAAAGATCGAAAGAAAAAAAGATCTGTTGATTATGATTAATAATTTATTTCTTATTTAATTACCTTGATGAATACCATATTGAACCATCAGGAAAAAGTCTCCATAAGCGATTACTTGTTGGTATTGTATGTAAATAGGAATATTTGGAATTATGAAAAACTGTATCTGGTCTCCATAATCGTTCCAGCATACGTGTAGATAATGAAAGTACACCAACTTCTTCAGCAAATTGAAGACGTTCATCACGCCATCGTTGACGAAAATAACAATTCATTGTAAATGACTAAATTTATGAATATAAAAACAAACACAATAGTTTTATTCTTTTCAATACAAACCATATCTATATCTTGAATAGGTCCAAATGAACTAACTAATATATCAAAATTTATTTTCGTTGGACCTTCTGAATATATAAATCAAAAAAAAAAGAATAATAATTAAGAAAAAAAATTAGCAGATGATTTTTCTTTCTACCTCCAAAATTAGGTCGAATATGTGCATCATAATTTTTTAAAAGACCATCAAGAATTGTTGTTATCTGATGTGTACGTCTTGATGCAGCTGTTGAATTATCATTTTCTAATGTATTATTATTCAACAATTGTGCACTAGTTATTACAAACACAAATAATATCCATTTTGTTATATTGACGAACATTTTGCACTGAAACAATATATTCAATGTACTGGCTTATATATATATTAATGGCTTCAGCATTGACTGTTATTTACAACTGTAGCCTAAAGCAGTTCATACACAAAGAAAGATGTATAGCGAACGAGCGTCAATTGTATTAATAAAAATAATTACGCACATTGGAGAATCTAATTTGTTTTTGATAATTTACAAAATCTTCTATCATTTTACCTTCGTAAAGAGAGAGAAAGAGTTGTTATTAAATAATCGAAATAACTAATTCTGTGCTTAGACTCAATCGATTAGACAAATATGATAGATAGTCTAAAATGAGATTTGCGTGTTGATGTAATCATCTATCAATCAGAAAAAAATATTTCTTATAGAGATGATCGAGTAGTAGACTTATGTCGATGAAATCATTGATTGAAAGCAAATTTTGTATATAAGTATATATATATACACTTCTGGACAAAAGCTTCCCCCTCCTCCCCGCCTCATCATTTTTTTTTCATATAGGACCTCTTTTTAGTCTCAAGTGAATTTTAGTAACAAGAATGGTTTAAGTATTTTATTGTAGTGTAGTGTATGATTGATGATAATTTGCTTCAACGAAGAATATACGTCTTTCAATAGAATCGAGCAACATTACAGATGGATTGATTAACAAAATGTTTCATGACTAGGTTATCTCTGATTTTTTTGTATCTGCTAACTGTTCTACTGGTTTGGATTATTAAACTCTCTTCGTCTCTGACTCGAAGCTCTTGCGAGAATGGGATATATTCGATTATACAAATATGAGATAAAATAAAACTATTAGAACATTCAGACAATTCTATAAAAAGAAAAACTCTAATCATAAAGTATTTTAACAAACACCTGATTTGTTGTGTTGACTAAATTGTATTGAATGCCGTGCATTCTTTATTGAAGCCGATCATAATCAATCATGCACTACACTAGAATACCGTATTTAAAGTATCCTTGTAACTAACATTCACTTGTCATCCAAGAGACTTTAGACAAAAAAGAAATGATGGAAAAGGAGGAGGAAAGACTTCTGTCTAGAGATGTAAATTTTTTTTTCTTTGTATCTTGTTATTTTATTTTATTTACAAAACAAAAACAAACAATTTTTATCACGTGGGTAATTTTTCTAATCGATTAGGAGTTTTTGTTAACCAATACCATCGTCCATAATCTGCAAAAATTTCTTCACCAGCAGCTATATCTCGTTTAGCAATAACATAAGCACATTGTTCTTCAGGACGTTTATCAAATATGACATTTTGTAATAAACGATTTCGCGGGTCATTTATATATCTTCCAAGTATCGTTTCATCATCACAAGGATCAACATAAACTTGTGGACCAAGTCGCATTAAATAGGATTTATCTTTCAGACGTATAGCATCGATTGTACGAAGTGTTTTGCCTTTATAGATACACACACATGAGCCTTTGGCAATTTGCATGCGAGTGAATAGACCAAAACCGGCACCTAGATATAAAATATGTTTTTCTTTTTATCTATGACATTGTCATTATAAATAGTAACCATAACTAACAAATGCTCCATGAAATTATATTTTTAACCTTCATGTTAAAAAAATGATTATTTTAATACGCGTATAATTAATCAGTAGCTATGGTATGTTTGCATGATTCAGAAATAATTGAGGAAGAGTAATGTAGTTTGATAAAAATAAGAGTATGTTTACGTTAATGACTAGACATGCAATAGGTACTATAATTACTCAACAAGGTTCCTCTTCAATATTAGTATTTATAACATAGAATTATTATTTTGTTCAAACCAAGCCAGACGACAGACTGAGCAATCCTCTGCAAAACGAGACATTTCTATGTTCTGTATGGTATTCTTTGGCTCCGATATAAAAACCTGAGGAAAGGTTAAAAGAATATTCACATAGAAAATAAAGAAAAAAAACATACATTAAGGTGCCCTGTATGATTGTTATTTTTATTAAAAATCATTGTGGAAAATTTGAAGACATCTGATTTTGTAGAGTATTCTTTGCTCCATCATTCTACTGCATCTGAGCAAGATAATAGTTCGGTATTTTAAGTGTTGAAAAACTAGATGTGGAATTTTCTGATGATCTTGTCATTGAAAATTTATTAATATTTTTTTTTTATAGATTCTTATTATCAATGTTTTTCTCCCCTCAAAACACTATTCGAATTTTTCTTAGTGTCTAAGCAGCCAAAAACTAAATAATTGAAACATAATCTTGTTGAATGATTTCAATAGCTACTCAATATACCTTCTATCTGTGACGGTTTAACTTCGAGATCGACCATTACATCTAAAAAATACGAAAAAATACGTTGTCTTAGAAAAGTCCTTTTTGTTTTGTGAACAGAAAAAAAAACTCTGACGTCATCGAGAAAAAAACAAGTTGCCATTGCTATCTAATGCACACAAGAATTCATATTAAAGTATGATTAAATATACAGAAAAAGTGTCGCAAAATGTCGCATGACATTAAATGAAACTATCAACAACGATATTATTCATGTAAAATTATTGCATTACTTTTTATTTCGTTCGAAATCAATTGTCATTCTAAAACTAATTAATTTCAGAGAAACAATTTTACAACAAAATTTCTGTTTCATTAGTATAAGAAAGATTGTCAAATTTGAAAATTATTTGTTTCTAAAAATAGAAACAAAGTAATAAACGTACTTATTTTCATGTATAATTTTTATTGCAATAGAATGCTTTTTAAAACGCACACTACAAAACGAGAACAACAATAAACAAAAAGAAAATGCCATAAAAAGGAATATAATATGATGTTACCCGGCAAACAAAACGACAGCGAACTATTGGTTCACCGGTTACCATACGGTATAAAAAAAACATTGGATTTCCTAATATAATGTAATTGTTGGCAGTAAACATCTTTGATATTTAATATTGAATTAATTAATCTTTTTTTTGTGTTGATTTCTTTCTTCTTCATATTGTTGTTTTTGATCATTCTGTTTGCTGCTACGTTTTGATTTAAATATATACGAACCAAGAAAGAAATGAGCAAATAATAGAAAATATGTTCCATACATAATTAATGATACTTTTAAATTTTCATCTGTTACTTGACAGATTTCACCATTCTTTTTATATTGCCATGCTTGTAAATTAACCCAACAACCAATGATCATTTGAGTTAATTGAAGCATTGTTATTACCATTGAGACCCAACGTGGTATACGAAATTTCAATGCACGTAATGCATAATACTAGAAAAAAACAAAAACATTATCTTTTAAATAAAAAAAAACAAATAACATACAGAATACATTATTCCATGAACAATATAATTCAAACTGCAAAACCATCTAAATCAAAAAAAAAAGAATATGGTTTCGTTTTTGATTGATTTTGTTTTGTTTTTGTTACTGACCTTCCTGTTGAACTATAATCTTGATAACTAAACCAACAATAAATTAAAACTGATGCATGATGATACCAATGCAGAAAAATTAATTGTTGTTTACGAAGAACAATAAATACCGTGTCAATTAATTCAGGTAATTTAGAAAAACAAAATGCCCATGTCCTATAAATGATTTATGAAATGATTTTTTTCTTATTTTATAAAAAAATGTTTTTTTTTCTGTTTTTGATTCATACCAAAATCCGACAACACCAAATGCATTTGAATTATTGCAAATTGAGTATTTAATTCCATGTCGACTAATAACATAAATTAATTCCGGTAATACTCTCATACCTCCAAATATTGAAAATAATGCCAATAATGTATTCCATGCTGCTAACCATAAACGTAATTCAAATCGAGGCTTATTTTTCATATAAATCTGACCCGCTATAAATGAGAAATATTTGTTTATAATTAAGATTTGAAAAATTTTGAATAATTTAAATAACTTACTATATATTAAAAATAAATATGCAAGAGCGAAGAAAAAACTATTATGCCAACGTTGGATCATATATGTACGTAAATCTCGTAATGTTCCCATTTCATCACTATATCGTTCAAAATCGAATACATAAAATGTAAGTGGAATTTTATTTGTTGATGATGAGACATCAAGAGATTGAGATGATGATTGTGAAGCAGCCGTTAACGAGCTATTAAATTGCTCAAAATAATCAGAGATGTGTGACATGATGGTAACCATATTTGATGTTATAGACACACACACTCAGGATATCTAAAATAAAACAAAGTAAATATATTTATAATATGTCTACTTCTTATTTGACAAATAATATATGAAAAAAATTTATAAAAATCTTGATGCAGAATAATTTGAAATAAAAAATAGGTCAATTAATAATCTTCTCTATTTTTTTTTCTTAAGTACAGAGTTCGCTATTTTTTCTCTTAAACACATATCTATATTTTTTCTCTTAGACACATATCTCTATTTTTTCTCTTAGACACATTGTTTTTGTACTTAAATCTGTAAATTTCTATCTATTTCACTTTTATAGAGTATACTACGTTCTTTTACAAATAATCGTGAATCACGTACATAAAATAGATAAACAATTACATCTAATCAGCGAATTTTATATGTGCGGAGTAACAGAACACAATAAGTTACATTCTTTTTATCTAGAGGACAAAGGAAAAAAAATTTTTTTCCTACCGAAAGAGGGCGTGTACTATTTACGAACACCAGAAGCTTACGCTGATAATATAAAACAGATACAATGTGAGGAAAGAAACCATATTACTATATGCGTTCGCCGCAAAAAAAAAGAAATACGTGAAGCAGATAGCAAAGTAATATTCGTTTTATAACATCCAGTTGCGATTGAATGATTGTCATGTCCTTCATATGCTTACGTATATATGCATAAACACTACCTTCTCTCTTATAGCGTAACTAAGAAACACAATAAACTTGATTAGTGTTTTTTAGTACTCTTCAGCAGGCAACATAAATGGAAAGTAAACAAAATTCTTTTATTATTCAAGTTATATAATCAATCGAATCGTCTCTCCTGCATTGAGAGTTTGTTTCAAACTTTCAATTTTTTTTTCACTTTTACTAAATACTAAGTACATTGCAATCATGAAAGAAAATAAATTTGCTTGTATTTGTTTATTACAATTCATTGTAAAGAGATACGACAGTAACGAGAATACAAGGTAACACAAATCAAAATGCAATTATGTTGCATATTTTTGTGTCCACTGTCGAGCAATCTAAACAATAAAAAACACGAATAATTGGATAAAAAAATTAACTATAGAACTTCATTTCCTTACCGCGTTATATCCTTCTCGATCATGTTTATATTGTCTAGCAATTTCTGGTACAAGTGGATCCTCAAAAAAAAATGATAGTAGATAAACTTCATTAAAACAAATAAAAACAAATAAGTATACATACATCTGGATTTGGATCACAAAGTAATGAACAAATCGATAATAAAACTTTTGAAATAGTTAATGCTGGTGACCAATTACTTCGAAGAATATCAAGACAAATCGAACCGTTAGCATTAATATTTGGATGATAAATTTTTGTTCGAAAACTAAATTGATCAAAAAAATAAATTTTTCTAATTTTATCAAAGAGAAAAAAAGAAAAATACTAACGTTATATGCGGTGGCTTAAATGGATAATCAGTTGGAAAATGAATTGTGAGAAAAAATACACCGGATTGAAATGGTGAATCACCTAGTAGAAAAACATTTTTATATAGTTAAATCTTTAGATTTCTATTCATACTAGGACCAAGAATAGTTGCCTGCCAATTAAACATATCATTTGATTGAATCTATAAATAAGAATTTATATAATTATGACTAAAAGATTCATTCTTACTGGTCCAGCGCTAACATTAGCTGGTGGTTCACGTTGTAAATCTTGTAATTCTTTTGCAATACGTTTAAGTGCCATATTAATTAATGTCAAAGCACAAAGTAAACGAACTGAAAATATTGAATTTATACATGTATCTTTATTATTTATTAATGTTCCATAAAGTACAACGAATTACTAAGCTTACAACTTCCTATTTCAACGTATATAATTTTAATCGAAAAACGGAAGTACTCCCCAATTGATTCCGTGCTAAAGAATTATATTTTGACTGCAAATAAGCGTCAATGAAACTAAGAAAATGCTTAAAACTATAGTACTTATGACTGTTCATTCTCAATATATGCCGAACGTTATGACGAGAAAAAAATGGTGTTGTTAGTTTCTCGGAAATTATAACTCAGATATGATCTTAATAATACGAGCTCGATCTTAACTAAGAAAAATTAGATTGACGTATTATTTTTAACTTAATATCTTTCGTTTATTTTAAAATAAGTGCACTTTTCTTTTAACAAATATATGTAATAAAAATGGTTTACTAATGAGTACCTAAAGATTCATTCTGGAAATTTTCAATGTTGTCAAAACTTGCTTCTCTTTCGAGGTTATTTCTATGCATTAAAGACAGGTGTTTTACTTCTGATTTGATCTGTTGTTTATGATGTCAGAATGTGTGTTATGTTTTATCACGTTTACATAGAATATTAATACAATTAAGTTGTTTTTACTTTATGTCTGGTTGAAATAATATATTATTTTGGTTTTCTGATACATTAAAAAAATTGCTAGAAACAGCAATAAAACCAGGATTTTGATCGATGACGACGTTACTATAGAATGAAAGCGATAATGCTGAAAAAACCTCATATTCAAGTTCATTAGTGACAGTATCAGATCATTTTTTCGACTTTTTCGGTGGACAAAAGAAAAACGAAAAAAGATTTTTTTTTCGGAAAGGCAGAGTAATCATATTTACCATTGACTAGATGCTAAATTCTTCATTACTATAACTTCGAAAGTTTATAATATAGTCTAGTGAAGGATTTAAAAGTTAGACAGTTCACAAAGCTTCTAATAAAATAATTCTTTTTGACAGAACTTCTTAGAATAATTTATTGACGATAACTAGAAAAACATAGAAAGAAAACTATTTTTTTCCTTCCTAACGTTAATTATATTTTGAGAATGAAGAGTCATGAGCACATCTACTTTTATGAGTTTCTTAGTCTTACTGGAAACTACTTATGATTAGAAGATAAAGTTAAAAGCTCTTCATTAGAGAGAATACTTCCTTTGTAGGATACTTTAATTTATTTTTTTATTTCCAAAAGTGAAATCTATTTACTTAAAAATCTGCTTTTGATAAAATTTATCAAGTACATAAATCAAATGTATCATAGTTTTTCTTTTTGTTATTCAATATTCAAGATACAAGAGTATTTCAGTTTTCAAAAGAAAAGATATTTAAAAAGACTCTAAATGAATAGATTTATATTGTTCAAGATATATAAATTTTAAAAATAAATTACCTCTATTTAATAAATAATCGTTGGCAAATATCTAAAAGAAATTAAAATTCGATACAATAGATAAATAGTCTTTTATAGCAATATGAATTAATTATTTCATATTATTCTTTTGTATCATTTGCACATAATATCATTCAATAAGTCAAGATGACATTATAGATAATAGAAAACTTATATCGAATAATAATTAAAATCCACCGGAGCATTTTTAGAAAATGAAATTCCTATGTCATTGTATACCTACTAGACGACCTTCTTTTGCTTATATTTGCAGAAAATTGTTTCATTGAAAATAACTATCATAGAAAATAGTTCATGTTACATTTAAAGATTTACTCTATAAAACCGAAAATATTAAATTATGGCTTTTTTCCATGTTTGCGAAAAGTTAATTATACATACTTTCTACGAAAGGATATCTACAGGGCTCATTTTGGTTATTGACAAATTTTCATCAATTTTTACAAAGAGTGACTAATCACATAATCCTATTGCCACCAAATATGTGATTGAACTTAGAAAAAAAAACAGCTGTTGATTCTCATATCATTAAATTGAATGTCCAACAAGAAAGATACTAGCGACTACATCGATCATAGTATATCACTGAGACATTTTGCATATAGTATGCTGAAAAAATTTCCACTAAACTAGGAAAAGAGACTGGACATCATTTTTTTCCTTTTATTTTTGATCGAGATCAAAGCCGGAATGAAACAAGACTGTTTCAGTTTATGTCTAAACTGATCTATCTCGCACAAGAATGAAGGATATTAGTTTTCATATATTTTTGTTTTATAAAGAAAACATAGAGATTAACAATGAAGTCTATGATTACTGGCAATCATAATTCACTCTGTTAAAATCTTGTTAAAGTTTTAAACGAATAGGATTTATCAGTTAGATACTCGTAGTATTTTGGGTACCATAGTAATTTATACTAGAAAAATAAAACAAGATATTGATACGGGTAAAATACAAGCATGAATAATAGAAATATGTACCATATCATCTAGCAACTCGGATTAAATAATGAATCATATGGTTTACATGATTGAGATGTGTATAACTATAAGATTTGTTTTTATATAGATTCAATATTTTTTCTCTTATTATAATTCTAAAAACTTTCTAATGAATAATTTGAAAAACAAATACAATATTATGTTGTAATAAAAATCAATTCATTTTTTGCAATGATAGATATTCTGCAATAATAATAAAAAAAAACAAGGAAGTAGAGTATATCTATGAAAGATCTTACGTAAAGATTGAATTTTAAAAACGAATTTATTTTAGACGAGTTATATTAAACAAAATCGATGAATATAAAAGGAAAAAAGTTCAACTTGGTATTACTGTCTGTTGATTACAGAATTTTCTAACAGCCATCTGTGCAAAGTCCAAAAACAAAGTCATGAGTAACACATCTAGCAACCAGCAGTAAGTTTTTTTCCTCTTCCTTCTCCTTTTCTTTCTAAACCAATGATTCAAACTATAGAGGCTATGGTTTTTTTTTTTCTTCCTTGTTTTTTTTCTTTTTCTCGAATAGTTAGTAAGAATATTCAATAAAATTTCGTTGAATTTGTTTTAATCATAAAGAAAATGACGAGAAAGTGTTGCAGACAAAGGCAATAAACAGACAGAGAGCTGAAGAAGAGCATGATGTCAAACAGAAAGAAGAACAAAAAAAACTGAAGAACATAGATAATATTCGTCAAACAAAAAAAAAACCATGACAAATTCAAATCTTTGAACTCAAGTTTTTTTTTTTCTTATATCCATTTGTTGTTACTTTTGCTCATCTTTCGTTAAATACACACAAGCATCGTACATACAAATAGATACACTCGAATAAAGAGGGAGAAAAAAGAAAAACGAAAAGATGTTAATATATATGAACCTTCTGTCTGTCCATTTTCATTCAACACAAAGAAAGAAGAGCTTAAAAAAGAAGAAAAAAAAAGACGTATGCTGTTGTTGATTGAATGTTCATCATACACTACATAGCATATTTCTGAGTCCATTGTCGCGCCGTCTAAATAAAAAAGAAAAGATATTGAATTAGTGTAAAATAATTTCATACCGCATTATATTTCTCCTTGTCAGTTTTGTATGTACGAGCGATATCCGGCACTAATGGATCCTAAAAAAACAAAATAATAATATTCATTAGTATATATATATATGTATTTCTTTTTTTTCAAGAGAACGATTTTCTTACATCAGGATTTGGATCACAAAGTAATGAACATATTGAAAGTAACACTTTTGAAATCGTTAATGCCGGTGACCATTGTGAACGAAGTATATCAAGACAAATAGCTCCATTTGAATTAATATTTGGATGAAAAATTTTTGTTGTAAATCTAAATAATACAATTTGAAATTTAAATAAATATTCTTATTAATAAAATTTACGTGATTTTTGGAGGTTTAAATGGATAATCGGCCGGAAAATGAATTGAAAGAAAAAATACACCGCCTTGAAATGGACTATCACCTGGTCCCATTATTGTTGCCTGCCGTAAAAAAAAACACACACACAGATAGAAACATGAATTATTTATTAAACAAAAAAAAAACACTTATAATGAAACATGTCATCATTGACTGGACCGGCACTACAATTTGCTGGTGGACTAAAAAGAACAAAAATTTTTATTTAAAAAGTAATTCAAGTTTTCTTTTTTGTTTTGAAATTACTCTTTTTCAAGCTCAAGTAATTCTTTGTTAATACGCTTCAACGCCATTCTACGAGACGAAATCAAAGGACGATACGCCGCGCAATTAGGCCGATATTTAAAATTATTTTTGAAAGAATAATCTAGAAAAAAATATATATATGATTCTTTTTCAAGCGAAGGGTAACAAGACAACAATGACGACGAAACGAGAAGAAAGATTGCCATAAGCATTTAGTAGAGGCGAACACTAATTCGCCCGTGACACGATGTAATGTTAAAAGAAAAAGAAAAAAAAACGACGGCATAGTCGACGATATGGGGGCAGTGGGGTGATGATGGAGAAAGAGAGAAGAAAAAAATCATTGAATCATTCTTACAGGGGTTAATATACGTCAAATGATTGGATATTGAACAAAAAGAAGAAAAAAAAATATATAAACAAAACAAATGCAATTAAATAATTTGAAATACTTGAAGAAAAATTTTTAGTTATTGAAATATTTTTTGATGAGAAAAAAAAATAAAACTATAAAACCAATAGAGATAATTTTAGAAAATAAAAATTTAAATTAACCTATTAGTTTTATTAATTAATTCATAATCTAAATTCGAACTCATATAAAGAAAAATCATATGCTACAATTAATCTTCGTACTACCCTAACAGCTCTTTTTCTTTTTTCTGTTTTTTCATTGTACATTTATAACAGAAAGAAATATCAGGCGCGTAGTAAACACGTGATTGAAATTGTGAGTAGCGACATTTATATAAACAAGAAAAATTTATTTGAAAAAAAAATTGTTTTTTTTTATTATCAAAGATAACTGTTTTTATAGTTATCAAAATTTATTTAGAGAAGGACATCAATTTAAAATGGAGGAATGTAGACAAGGACAATGAACTTCTCTAATGACATCATCGAAACGCAGTGATCTCTCAGCTGTTGTTACTACTTTAACGTTTGCTATTAATTTTTAATAAAATAGCAAAAAAACGAAAATAAAGATTCAAAAATAAATTTTTCTATTCACTTTTCTTTTGGATAAAAAATTCATCCTAGATGGAGCGAATTGTTTCGTCAATTTCTCGACCATCAATCGGATCGATTCGATGTTTGCCTCAATTAAAACTTATAACTCGTGGTGCCCATAGAGCACATCCTGAATCGTTTCTCAATGCATCTTCATCAAATTATATCGATGAAATGTATGAACAATGGTCGAAAGATCCTCATTCAGTGCACAAAGTATATATTGAAATAATTTAATTAAAAGAAAAAAAAAACAACTCAGTTTACATTTTTCATATTTCTAGTCATGGGATCTTTATTTTCGTCATCAACACTATCAACGACCTCCAACATTAGGCATTACTCCGCCATCACCAGCCTTAATAGAATATTATCAAAAAACAGGTTTTCTTCAACAACAACCAGTTTCTATTGCGTCTCAACAACAAGTTCAATTACAAACAACAAGTCCATATGTTAGTGGTGTTCAAGAAATTCCACTTGATATGAAAGCTGTACAAGATCATATGGCTGTACAAGCACTTGTACGATCTTATCAGGTCTGTATATTAATTATTTTGATTATTATTATTATTATTATTTTATAATGAAATAATTAATAAAAGAAAAACAAAGAAAAATTATCTAATAAATATCGTATTACAGATGCGTGGTCACAAATTAGCACAACTTGATCCACTTGGTCTTTCATCGGTTGATCTTGATGCTGAAAGACCCAATGATTTAACATATACATTTTATAATTTTAGTAAGAGTTCAACATCCAAAATCGAATATCTTTAGTTGAGATCAATTCTTTGAATATCTATGAAAATAGAAACAAAAGGAATAGAAGTCAAGAATTATTTTACTTTCAGCTTTACGGACATCATGAAGCTACACTTGACCCACTCGGTATACTTGAAGCAGATTTATCTGGTGAACGACCTGACTCATTGAAACTATCTTCACATAATTTGAGTAAGGTCGGGAGAATAGATAGAAACGCAAAACAATCACGCCTCGATTTTGTGTCTTTTTTTGTGTTTCTGTGTGCTTAACATAACATAGAATTTGATTTCAACTAGAGATATGGTTTTTGCATGGATAAACATTTATATAAAAATTAAAAATGATTTTTTTTTTTGAACTCAAGGTGAAGCTGATCTCGATCGAAAATTTGTTCTTCCACCAATAACATTTATAGGTGGTCAAGAAAAAGAACTTTCTTTACGTGAAATTATACGACGATTAGAAGTATGCATGAAATTATTTCTGTTATTTGTTTTCTTATGCTTATGTTAATTTTTTTTTATTATTATTATGCAGAATGTTTATTGTCAAACCATTGGTCTTGAATATATGTATATAAATAGTTATGAAAAATGTAATTGGATTCGACAAAGATTTGAAGATCCAGAACAGAAAAAGCTGGAAATTAAAGATATTCAACGTGCAGTAAAACGACTTATTCGAGCATCGAAGTATATTGAAGAGAAATATTTAGTTCTATTATTATTTTTTAAATTAGATTCGAAGATTATTTAAAGAAAAAATGGAGTTCAGAAAAACGTTTTGGGCTTGAAGGTTGTGAAGCCTTAATACCAGCTATGAAAATGGTTATTGATACAGCTGCACATAAAGGTGTTGACACTATTATAATGGGCATGCCACATCGGTATGATAGAAATTGTTATTTTGATTAAAAACATTGTTTGAGTTTTTGTATATTAATTTAGTGGTCGTCTTAATGTAATTGCTAATGTAACACGTAAACCATTGGAAGAAATATTTTGTCAATTTGATCCGAACTTAGAGCCATCAGATGTTTCAGTAAGTATAAGAAACAAAGACATTTTTTAAACATTATTTTCATATCATATTAATAAGAAAAAGGAACAGAAATCTTATATTATCGTAAGTTTTCTTTATTTTCTTTTTATTTCCCTTTCGATGTTGCGCGTTATTTTACACTCGTCAATAATGACGAAAATATTAAAGCCACCTAATCCTATTAAACCATCGTAATGTTTCGTCGAAAATTTATATGTATATAGCTATACATATCTTCATTCATATCTATCTATCTATCTATCTATAAGTTTTTCTCTATATTGAATGAATTGATAATTTTAGGGAAGCGGTGATGTTAAATATCATTTGGGTACATGTATTGAACGTTTAAATCGTGCATCAAATACAATGGTTAAATTTGCTCTTGTTGCTAATCCATCACATTTAGAAGGTTAAAAATAAAAAGAAGAATATTTTGTGAATTTAAAATTTTCTTTTTTTTTTGTCTCTCTCTTTTCAATAGCTGTTGATCCAGTTGTACAAGGTAAAACTCGAGCAGAACAATTTTATCGTGGTGATAGAACAGGTGAAAAAGCTATGAGTATATTATTACATGGTGATGCAGCATTTGCCGGACAAGGTGTTGTTTATGAAACATTTCATTTAAGTGATTTACCAGCTTATACTACACATGGAACTATTCATATTATTTGTAATAATCAAGTAAATCAAAAAAAAGAGTTTAAAAACATAAAAAAGAAAAACAATTTTTTTCTTCCGTAAATTTTAGATTGGTTTTACCACCGATCCACGTATGGCTCGTTCAAGTCCTTATTGTACTGATGTAGCACGAGTCGTTAATGCACCTATATTTCATGTTAATGCTGATGATGTTGACTCAGTTTTACATGTAGCAAAAGTAGCTGCAGAATGGCGATGTACATTTAAAAAAGATGTTGTTATTGACCTTGTATGTTGTTGTTAAACTTATGATGGTTAAAAATAAGAAAAAAATTTTTTTTCGTAGGTTTGCTATCGTCGACATGGTCATAATGAAACTGATGAACCTATGTTTACACAACCATTTATGTTCGTATATTAAAACAAAATTCAATAGTTATTATTTTTTTCTAATGATTTTTAGGTATAAAAAAATTCATAAACAAACTCCTGTTTTAAATAAATGGGTTGATAAATTAATAAGTGAAGGTACAATTAAACGAGAATGGTACGAGGTATGTACTCATATAATTTAAATAATTAGGTTTTTCTCAATAGAAGTAAATTGAAAAAAAAATGTATATTCTAGGCTGAAGAAGCTAAATATCAAAAAATTCTTGATGATGCTTTTAGTAATTCTAAAAGTTCAGCATATGCTAAAGATAAAAATTGGCTTGATTCACCGTGGAAAAATTTCTTCACATCAAAAGGTCCTTTCCCATATCCTGAAACTGGTGTACCTGAAGAAACAATTAAAACAATTGGTGTTAAAGCACATGAATTACCCGAAGGTTTTACTCTTCATCGTGGTCTTCAACGTGTCTTTGAAAATCGTGCAAAAATGTTAAATGCACGTGAAGTTGATTGGGGATTAGCTGAATCAATGGCTATAGGTAGTGTTTTACTTGATGGTAATCATGTTCGTCTCAGTGGACAAGATGTTGAACGTGGAACATTTTCTCATCGTCATCATGTTTTACATGATCAAGAAAAAGATCTGGTTTTTCATGTACCTATGAATTATCTTCATCCAACACAAGGTCATTATACAATATGTAATAGTTCATTATCTGAATTTGCTGCATTGGGTTTTGAACTTGGATATTCTATAACAAATCCAAATTCACTTATTATTTGGGAAGCACAATTCGGTAAAAAACAAAGGAAATTTTTTTAAAAGGAACTTTATCTAGATGAATTTATTTTGATTTAGGTGATTTTGCCAATAATGCTCAATGTATTATTGATCAATTTATTTGTAGTGGACAAGCTAAATGGGTTCGTCAAAGTGGTATTGTCCTTCTTTTACCTCATGGATATGAAGGACAAGGGCCAGAACATTCATCAGCACGATTAGAACGATATTTACAGGTAAATTTATCAATAGATTAATCATAATTAAAAACAGAACAATAGATTGATTATCAATTGAATGTACTGTATTGGTATAGACCTATACAGTTAGTTTTGATTCTAGATAATCCATGTCACTGAAACTGAACAAAAATCCCTATGTATAGCAACAAGCAACCGACGGTAGTTTGATATTTAAACGGTTGGCTATCTTCTGACCACCATTCTACTGCCATATATCAATAATTTTGTTCTCATACCGGCAATCTGCTTTCGATATAATGTCGGTACTTTTGGGTACTACAGCATATCGGCGGTAGTATGAACTAACGTATAACATGTAAATTTCATTAATTCTTGGATTTTCAAATCAATTTTAAAGATTTGAATATTTAATCATAAAGTAAAATCGATATTACATAAAAATTTAGTTTTTAATAGCAAAATATTGATCGATATAATTCAAAATGAATAGTAGAAACTTAATAATAACGAAAATATTAGTCTAGGAATATTTTCTGAAAGATTTGAACTCGTTAAAAAAGGCACCAATGAATTTAGATTATATAAAAAAAAGCGGTTATGACTATGACCCAGCATGATCGTCATGTTTCATGATTACCACGGTTACGGCCGTGATCGTGGTCAATAGTTTTTTAAAGGTCATGATCATAACCGTGATTGCACTTTGATCAGGGACAGTTATGATCATTAGAGTACCCACATATCCTGTGTTTCAGTGAAGTAAATAGATATGTGACAATACAAATGACCTCGTTTATTATATGGAACAACTACTTTCAAGTACTTTTATATGCAATAAGCAATATTGATCAATAACACATAAAATAATCATGATTCATAGTTTGAAAAATAATAATGACAAAATAATGTCAAAGTTTAAATTTGTTATCGTTCTCATTCTATTTCGAGAGATTAACAGAAATATCTTTGATCAGATCAAATTTGTTTTCTTCTCTTTTGCTGCAATATATTCTCGTTGTTTTTACTCATACAATCGATGTATTAAATCTTTGTCAATTATACTTATAGTTTTCATAGAGAGGTACTGACAAATTCAAATCAATTTTCATGACTGACGACTCCCTAAGTTAACTCTGTGTACTTCATTCAATATATTGTTCTATATGTTTATACAACGTATCTATATTGACCGAGTGCAATCATTTATTATTTGCACTAATAGTAAAATACATTTCACTAGATTCAATCAATTGATACTAGTAGAGTGTAGATCAGTTTTGTTTTTATTGAAATTTATTCATAAATTTCATATATATTAAATATTTACGACTGGATTAAAATTTTCATTTGATTTCAATTAGAATGAAATTTCACTTAAAAAATTTATTTATGTTATATTTCTTTTTAAATACAAAATATTCTAAAATATATTTTAGCTGGCCGATGAAGATGAGGATCGTGTTACAGAAATCAAAGAAACAAAACACATTCAACATACAGACTTGGCAATGTATCAATTAGATGATACAAATTGGATAATAGCAAATATAACAACACCAGCTAATTATTTTCATATTCTTCGTCGTCAATTAGCTTTACCATTTCGTAAACCTTTAGTAATTATGTCACCAAAATCATTACTTCGATTACCTGCATGTCGTTCAACATTTGATGAAATGATAACCGGTAAATGAAAATTGATTTCATCATATAAAACAGATATTTATTGATTTTTTTTCTTTTTCTTTTCTTTTCTAGGTACAAGCTTCAAACGTGTTTATCCTGAAGCAGGTGTTGCATCAGAAAATCCTGCTGAAGTTAAAAAAATATTATTTTGTTCCGGAAAAACTTATTATGATTTAGTTGATGAACGTCGAAAAAATAAACTTGATTCTCAAATAGCTATTGTACGTATCGAACAACTATGTCCATTTCCATTCGATTTAATTCGTGAAGAACTTGAAAAATATAAAAATGCAAAAATATGTTTTGCTCAAGAAGAACATAAAAATATGGGACCAGTGAGTTATTTTATTGTATTTCAAAATACAATTAGTTCATAACAATAAATATTTTGTCTTTTAGTATTCATTCTGTAAGCCACGTCTTGCTTGTCTTCTCCGTTCAATGAATGATGAAAGAGCTGGTGAAATAAAGTAATTTTTATTTTTTCATTTTTTATTTTTTTCTAAAAACTTTTCTATTCTCACAGTACTTGGTAAGTTTATAATCGTATTCGATATTGTAATTTTTGATATTTCCTCGTACCATTAAAGCATGTGTTCACCAATGAATCGGCACGTGCATGTTCTTTTTGTTATTCTTTTTTTGTTTTCAGTTGAAGATTAGATATTTCTATTGAGAAAAAGATCTGCTCATGACGGTTCATTAGTATTTTTTTAAATGTATATCATTCTTCATTATATAGTTCTTTATTTTGTTAATTTCTATTTTAGTTATGCTGGAAGAGATTCAGCAGCATCAACAGCAACTGGTATTAAATCAAGCCACTATTCAGAACAGAAGACATATATGCATCAAGCAATGGCTTTTTAAATTATTAGTGAACATTAATCCTCGTATATCCACTTGAATTAAATTTGTTTAGTTTTGTTTTTTTCTTCTTATATCCTTTATTCATGTCAGTAAAGAAAATAGATTCTACATAAGCCAGAAAATCTCCTATTTCCGCATAGAAATATCTGATATATACATATATAAGTTTTATTATTTTATGTGATCAAATAAAAAAAACAAAAGAACAATGAAGCGGATCATGCTGCCCCATATCGTTTCCATTCATGTATTAAGAAGCTAAACTATCTACAATTATTTCTGTTGAAGAATGTACTTTAGAAAAAAAAATATTTCTTTCTCAAGCAAAGTAAAACAAAGCATAACCGTAAGAAAAAGAGAGAATAAATATCTGAACAAAACGCTAGAAGAAAAAAAAGAAAGAAATTGAAATGGAGAACGATAAAACTTTGGCATTTACAAAAAAAAAAAAAGAAAAAGAAAATTGATGTTCGAATCTAGTTTAAATTATTTGTTTAAATTAAATCAGGTGGTTGAAAAGGTGATCGCGATTTTGTTGTACAACCATTTGCAATAATTTGTGGTGTTGTTGGCTCAGAAAATTGACCCGTACAACCAAATATGCCAGATGTATCAACAAGAATTTCACGTGGTTTCGATGTTTGTCGAACAATAACACGATTTTTTTCACGTTGACGATCAGCAGCAGTACAATAATTTAAAGAATTACATGGTTTTGATAGTGTACCTCAAGGAAATGAAAAAATATATAAAAAAATAATTTGAATATATAGAATTTTATTTAAAAGCAAAACAAAATTTTGCAGTTCAATTCACATTCTTCAGACTATGAAAATAAAATACTTTTTTCATGATCGATTATATGACTTTAAGCATTGTTTTTTTTTATGATTGTATTCAAGTTTCGAAAAGATCATCGTCTTAGACTGTCCTTCATTATGATTAGACATGCATACCAAACTCAATAAAAGAATTTGAATATTTTGAACTTATCTTATTACAATAAACTGTCTCTCCATCAATATAGAAGGACGTCTGTCTTTGGTAACCAAACAGAAAAAAAATCCAATGAACTGTATAGTTAGATAAGAGGTTTGAAAGAAAACTAAAAAACAAGCCAAACATATTAGATTTGGTTTTTTTTTATTGGTTCTAGTCTAACAATGTTGCCGAAAAACATATTCTAGTATCATACGTCTTCCTTGAATTTTATGCCGATGGACAAATATGTGGCATATAGGCTAATAGATAAGAGTTATTTTTCTTCGTTGAGGCATAAACGACTGAAATGGTTTGGGTGCATGTCTAATTACTGTCTTAGTAATGTTTAATCTTATTTTACAGAAAGAATATGTCAAGTGTCGTATTTTTCAAATAAATTTTGCGATTATCTAAGTACTTGTCTTGAAAAAACTTCAATATGATTAGGTGATAATCTCTGGGATGAAGATTTATAGATCAGAAAAGATTCCTTCGAGTGTTTGCCTGTTTATTTGTGAAATCCCCTTTAGAAAGAAGAGAAAAAGTATTATGATCTTCCTATTTATTGATATTCGCTAATGTGTCAAAGATTTTTGTTTTTTCATTATTTTCTTCATCAACCAAGCAGATCTGATGAAAAATCACCAGAATTGAACTAACATCAATAAAGAATTTAACAGACAGTATGACAAAAACTACGTCATTTATATCAAGCTTAAAGCAATATTTACAAAGAATAGTATAAGCATCTCAAGAGATTTGATTAATGACACAAATTTTCTTTTTATCAAGGTTCAAAATGTCAAAAAAAAACCTCATTAGGGATGTAAAAATGATGGAGTAAAAGAAATGAATTTGTCTAATTAAGGCCAAAAAAAACTGTAATAATCAAAGATGAATTTAGAATGAACATTAAAAAAAGGTCAGTGAAGCAGTATACCGAAACATGCGATCGGTAATTAACAAATAAAAAACAGATAATACATATATATATAAGAAACAAGCATTACCATTGCGCGCATGCATTCGTTGCATGAAATCTTTGCGATATGCTTTCTTGCTAGCTCGATGATGCTGTTTTTCGACAAAACCATCATCTATGATGAACAGGATGCACAAAAGCATAGTATAAGCAAATTCATAAAGCAAGAAGAAAGTGAAAAGGAAGGAAAAATGTCAATCAAATGCTAAATGAGAAGTCATTATCGATATGGATAGATATGTAAAGGAAGGGAAGCAACAATTACTGATAGCTACCATCAAAGAAGCGTGAAAGCGGTCGTTTCATTGTCGTGCTACATTTACTACCTGATCCACCGTCTTAAAATTGAAGAAATAATAATTAAAATAAATATAAAAAGTATTTCCTTTAGTTCTAACCTGTACTTGATGCTGAATCACATCGTACTTTTTCAGTTTTTTCAAATCGTTCAATTACTTGAGTTTCTAGATTAAACCAATAATATGAATATTATTTCATGCATAATGAACTGTTCTTTTTACCTGTAACACATAATGGTCGTCTTGGTAAACCAGCTGTTGTTGTACCAGTTTCTCTTGTTTCAGGACGAACTAATCAAAATATTTTCGTTAAAATTATGAAATTCTTTTTCTTGTAAAATGTCTTACCTTGTTTTGGTGGAAGTGGTGGTGGTGGTATATAAAGATCGTCAGTTGATGTTGTTGCATCGTGCAAAATAACTCTTGGTGGTGGAGGTGGTCGCTCACGTTCAACTATTCAATAATAAATATTAAGTGAATAAAAAAATAATAAAAAAAACAACCAATTCATTACTTGGAACAATACGATCTGGAGTTTTATTATAATTAAAACTATATTGAAAATGTTCTTCGTGATGTTCATCAACAACTTTTGACCATCGATTTTCTTTTTGTTGCTGGTGAATATCTACAATGAAATGTTTAATAATATTTATCAATATGTTTCAACTTATTGAATTGACACTTGAGAAAGAAAAACCGGAAAAGAACATGAAAATTTAATTTTTACCTGTTGATTCTTTATGTAAATCAAAACAAGACGAAGGACGTGGACGTACTTTAAGTTGTCGTACAGTTGGTGATGGTGTACGTACAAATGAAACCATATAAGATGGAGGCGGTCGACGTTGTTGCTCTTCTATCGTGACTGTTTCTATATAGTTTTATAAAGAAAACAAGTTTAGATTCTTTTTCATATTTATTAACTATTAGTTTTTCTTGTTTGTATATATTTTATTTTACCTATTTTTTCAACAAGTATTTCTCTGGAACGAGCACGATTTATTGGTCGGCGTGGTGGTGGTGGTGGGGAAAAACAATACGAATTAAAAGTAACATTTGGATAGTGTACACCTTTTTAAGTGTTAAACGAAATTAAAATAAAAGAATAATATAATCGAATGAGACTTTTTATTTTTATTTTTATTTTAACATACTATAACACTCTCGTTTATATCGTCGACCAGATGAACGACTTCGATGGTGATGATGTTGATGATGACGATTAAGTGATGCAAAATCGCTTTCTATATAAGGAATATCATCAAAAAATGATGTTGCTTGAGGTTCAAATGGATCAAATGGTTCGGTTAAAGCCACAGATAATGGTCGACCATTATGATGTTGTGAATAACACCCATTATTATATTCATCATCCCATAGAAAACTACCCATTAGACAACTTGGTTGTTGAAACCAATCTAGAGATAAGAAGACATGAATAAAAGACATCTAATTCACTATTATAATTTTTTAACCGATGATATTTGAATATTAAATATCATCGATATATATATGTATATATATATATGAGGATATAATATTCTTCAAATAATACATGTAACAAAACAGATGAAAGAAAGAAAAACGATTGAAATTATTAAAAACAATTAAGAGATAAGAAGCGAAAAAAAGAAAAACTAACATTTTTGACTCAGTATAATATGTTGTTGAGAGGAAGCGTGCACTTTCTCTCTCTTCGGTTTGACATTGAATAAAAAAAAAATTGACGATGGGAATGCAAATATGTGCAACACACATACAGTAAGTTGTCGTTTTATTACGAAGAACCTCTGCGCGCGCTAACTAAGGGAAACACACATAACTCTTCGATAATGTTGTCGTGTGTAAAGTTGATCCGGAGCAAATGTTCTTTATATTTCTGTGGTTTGTGTATGTTTGTGCTTATGTATACGGACTTTTTTCTTTTTTCCTCTATTCTTTTTTTTCCTCTCCTCTTCTGTCAAAAATTTCGTGCTCTTTCCAATAGAAAATAATCTTTTATATGAATAGCTAGCACATGCATTTTTGTTTTGTGACTATATCAGTTTGGCATTCGTTAGATTTTCTTAGATGTGTTTTCAAGTTATGTTAACGTGTTGATAAAGTACGTGTCATCTATACTTCTTGCGATGATCAATCAAGATGCAACACTGCCTGACATAGCTATATATATATATATATGTTGATAATCTCTTGAGATGTAGTGAAGAGCGCGTATGTATGTGAGCGCTTACGGGTGCAGTTACAAAGTAAAAACTCAAGGTCAAATGCGTGGAGGATGTACGAACCTCGTTATTTGCAAATCGGATCTCTGATTATCATATACTCGAGAAAAAATAGTCATCACCCGATTTATTTTATCATTCTAATATATAGCTGCTGTTATTGTTTACCTCAAATAGCAGTCTAGCTAGACGTCAAAGAGCCTAATCTTATCATTCGTATTTTTTTTTCTCACTTTTTATTTCTCTTCCCACACTGATGCTTCTCATTTTTATTCTTACCATTTTGATTCGATTCTTTTGTTTCTTTACAAAGAGATAAGCGTTTGTTGTTCTCTTTTCAGCTCTCTCTTTTTTTTCTCTTTATTGTCTAAATGTATGAATGGTACTTATAGGATTCACCTTCAAAAAAAGCCACAATAATATCAAAACATCGATGATGATGGTTATTATCACCATTGTATTTCAGGTGTGTGTACGTAATGACAACAAGAAAAATGTGATGTTAAACTACTCACATACCAGATCTATATGATGGCGACGGCTTTTGATGTCGAGACATTTCTTCTTGAAAATTAACAAACGAATAGGGAGGACCTTGTTATGTCTCTTTTCTTCTTTTTCTATTTACTTGTAGATTGAGAATGAAGAGAAGAAAAAAAGAAAATGAAAGTTATGATCGTTTTCGGTAGAGATCAGTATTCGCTGATTGTGGGTGTATGAATATCAAATGCACGTTTAAGTTGTTTCAATATCGATTTTGATTATATCTTTCATTTTTCTTTTTTTGCTCGACCATTTTTTTAAATGAATATATATATTTATTACATACTAAAAATTCACTATGATTGATTTTAATATATATATATACGAATAAACGGCTTTTAAAGTCTTCATCTGTATTTTTTTTTCTTATCAAATAAATAATAAACAGGAGCAATTTCTCAATCTTTATCATTATTACATTCATATTCCTTTCAATGCAGTCAAAAATAAAATAATCTATCAATGATTGATTTATGCGCATATGAAATTGTTGCTTGCTTGTTACCAAAAATTTCTTATACAAATTTTCAAGGATATACGTGCATGCATGTTATGTACATAGATATATGAAAGAATCTTGATTTCATTATTTCAATATTGTCATATATTAAATATCACTCGAGAAAATAAAAAATAACAATGAATATATTTCTTGTTCTCTTAAATTAAATAAAACAAATTATCATTTCCGTGCAATAAAATGAATGCATTATATAATGAACAAATAAAAGCATTCTTTTTTATCAGTTGACACTGATTTTAGACATATTTTTAAAAAACAAAATAAAAGAAGATTTCGTATGATAAGAAAGTCAAGAAACTGATTCTTTGATATATGCAATTAATAAAATTTTTTAAACAGATGTAACCAAAATTATTCATTTTCTTTTTCTTTGTTAGTTGTTCTTACCTAATAGACCAATTTAAGCAAACGATAATTTTACACTTAAAGGAACGTACTTTTTTTTTATGCTATGTATTACGGAAAAAAAAGAATATATCTCTTTTGAATTCTAAATGAAATTATTAAATATTAATAAAGACACTAGATCACATATATGTCATAGCTAACGTGAGAAAAATAATTGCCAATGAAGTTTGTTTAAAAAATATTGTTTGATGTTGAAGTTTAAATTTATCGAAGCAAGTTTGTTGTTAATAATAAAAAAAGCCAATTTTTTCAATTTTTAATACGTAAATTTTCTTCTAACATTTTTACCATTTGTGTAATATTCTTTTTTAAAGAAACGATGAAAACAAACAAATTAACTATGAAAGAACTCTTAAATGCATTTGATTTCTTATTATATTTAAAAATTAAAAAAAAAAAATGTTTGATTACAAAAACTTTTCCTATAAGAGCTTATGAAAAAAAAACAAAGAACAGTGAAGTACGTCTTCCTGAATCACGTATCCTTCATGGTTCTTTTCCTTTTTTTTTTTTTTTTAATAAAATTTTTCTCCTGAGTTCAATTAAAGCTTAACATAATGCATCTTGAGCTTCCACTTATAATGAATAAGATACAACTCGAAGTAAATTTGTGAACAAAGCAATTAATTTGTTCCGTGCAACATTAAAATACCTGTTAGAAGGAAATTCAAGGTTCAGAAAAGTGATTTAATATTTTTTTTTCTTTAAACCACACATCATGACATTCCAATTTATTTAATTCATCTCTATTCTTTTGTGTATGGTCAAATAGAAGTGTTGTATAACAAAGGAAAAAAAGAAAAAAAAATAGAAATACATTTCTGGCTGAATGTTTAAGTACAACAAATAAAAGATAAGCGAAAAAAAGAAAAAAAAGAAGAAAAAGTCAAATGAATGAAGTTATACAATCAGGGAAACGAGGGAAAAAATCGATTCGTCTACCACACAGGAGAAGAAAGACAATAGTATAACTTTTTAATGAACAAGGAAAAAAAAAGGTATTTACGCGGTAGGTTGAAACCCATTTGTACAACATGTCAGTATGCAAGTGAACGAGAACGAACAAGATAATAATTAAAGATCAATTATAAGAACAAAGAAAGAAAGAAAAAAAAATTAATTAATAACGCATTAATAATAATGATGATTTAAATCACTGGTAGCCATTTCTAAGCCTTCGCCTAATTTATAAACATAAATTTTATAATCTTTCGATGCCATTGCTAATTCATCATTATATCCAACAGCAACATCGAAACATTGAGAATGTTTCATAAGCTAGAAAAAGAGAAAATTATACATGAAGAAATAAGATTTGTATTTTTATTTTTTGTTACAAAAATACTTACTGAATAATGTGAATATTTTTTATTTCCATCATAATCATATGTTGATATATTAAAATTTTCATGATTATCTACAACAATAAGCTCACGACGCGGTTGATTCTAAAAGAAAATGATCGGAAGTAAAATTATCACCATAGAAAATTAACAATAACAAACTCACAATTCGACATGCAATTGGATATGTAATTCCAGCTCCAATATTTTTCAAATGTTTACCAGTATAATCAAATACTCGAACAAAATGTGATTCATTATCGCTAACATAGAGTTCATGTCGATCATTGACACAGACACTTGTCGGAAAACTCAAATGATCGCGTAAATCACATTGACCCCATATACGACCCGATGTTGCATCATAAATATGTACTAATATTAACAAAAACAAAACAGATGTTCTTTTTTTCAAATAATATTGCTAATTATTTCTGTTACCTTTCATAATTTTTGATTCAATGACAATAATTCGACCTTGTTGATCTATACAAATCGCTCTTGGACTTTCAAGATCATTACCGAAACGACGAATAAATTGACCATTTCGATCAAATATTTGTATCATCGGTCGAGGTGAACGTTGTACCATAACAAGCTAAGTTAATATAAATCAAAATAACTTTACGAGAAAGAAAAAAAAATCTTACTAAATCATGTCCAGGTAAAATAGCAATACGATATGGATAAAGTAATGCACCAGGTCTTGTTCCAGCTTGACCAAATTTTAATACACATTCTCGTCGAACAGGATCAAAAAGTTTAACTTGACTTGAATTAGTATCAACAACTGAAATTGTACCATCTGACAAAAAAGTAATACCATTTGGTTCGAGAAATTCATTAATACCACGACCATAACCACCAAATTTATATTCATCTAATAAAACAAAATTTTAAATAACAATATTCTTTCAAAGAATACAATTATTTACAAGACGTCGAGTATCTTAATGATGCTTGATTAGATGATCGAGTTAAACGACGACATGATTGATCTGTTAGTCGAGTAGTTATGGATTGAGAATTTGATAAAAAAGCTGATTCATTTTCCATATGAAATTCAGCTGCAGATGGATCAAGTATTGACGAATGTTTTAATCGATGATTAAATGGTGATGGTTCATATGAATGATAACCACTTGTACTTGTAAGTAAATCATTTGATGATGATCCAGTTAAAGCTTCTAAAATACGACACATTTTTTAATAAAATAATAAACTTTCATTTTTTTTTTCTTTTTAATTTTACCAAAAGTAATTCCAGCTTGTTCAATAATTGAAAATATTTCATCATGATTACCATCAATACTTGTACAACCATTTACATTTAATGATGATTCATTTAAA